AGGCCTGACCAGATCCACACCTGCTCCCTAGGACAGGCCTCCTTCTCAGAGGTGAGCAGAAAGGTCCTGAGACGCCTCATCCATCTTGGAAGGGATGGCGGCTGCAATTCTCATGGCCCTGGTGGTGTGGGGGCTAGGAGACTTCCTTCCTGGCCATAAAAGACTCAGTTGGTTCCGACTGAACTGTGGGGAAGGGACCATTGGGATCCCCATTACCCCAGGCCCTCCATGGGCAGGATGATGCTGAGGGAAGCTGCATTGGCCATCAACACAATGATATTCACTAAAGAACTCACCGCTTACATCACTGATCGCTGTGACGGCTTTGTCATGTGTCAGCATGGTACCCACACACATTGCCTTTACCCATACTTAACGTCCACATGAAGACAATGACAGAGTCACACTTCCACCCATGATCCAACTATTCCTCGTACAACTGAAAACACATGAACTCTTTCCCTAGACAGATTTGCCCTTGGGTGATGTTCTCAAATATCGCTCTCTGCTTCACTCAGGGGTGCATGTTCCTGACCTTCCTTTCAACAGTCTTGTTGCTGGCCTCTCTTGTTGACTGTCCATGAGTAAAGATTTCAAGATGCCAAGAAAGTTGATGCTGGAGATATACTCAAATCACTCACAGAACAGCAAAGGAGGATGTCAGAGAGTTAGGCCAGTTACATTTGAAGGGGAGAAAATACACAGGAGGAGAGACGTTACAGGCCCTTCACAAAAGAAGGATAATTAAGAGAGTCAGTCTCCTGGGAAAATTTTTGAAACTCTCAAATATTTTTCATAAAAAAATGACCACCTTTATGATGGTGTTGTACAATTAGGAGTGAATCAAAAGATGTCATTATAGTTGACATATAATTTTGTCAGAAAATTTATACCCAAACTTCTCTCCATCAACACTTGACTCTTTGTTTATTCCAGGAATGAGCACATAGTTGCAATTGTTATAACTTAAATATTATTAAATATGAAGTAAACTTAACTTTAAACACTTCAGATTTTTTCAGGGCAAATTCTCAACCAAGTTTTTTTCCCCCTCAAACCATACTATTAAATTTTGGACTCCCATGTTTAAAATCAAATATTAAGGAGCAAAGGAAACAAATTATCCTCCCAAGAGAACAAAAAGAAAAGCCACAGACTGGCAGAAAATATTTGCAAAAGACACACCTATGGGGGCTGGCCCCGTGGCCGAGTGGTTAAGTTCGCGTGCTCTGCTTTGGCAGCCCAGGGTTTCGCTGGTTCGGATCCTGGGCATGGACATGGCGCCGCTCGTCAGGCCACATTGAGGTGGCATCCCACATAGCACAACCAGAAGGACCCACAACGAAAATATACAACTACATTCTAGGGGGATTTCGGAAGAAAAAGAGAAAAAAAAAAAGATTGGCAACAGTTATTAGCTCAGGTGTCAATCTTAAAAAAAAAAAAAAAAGACATGTGTAAAGGATTATTAACTAAAATACACAAAGAACTCTTCAAACTCAACAGTAAGAAAACCACCTGACTTAAAAAATGGGCCAATGCCAACAGACACCACACCAGAGAAGATATACAGATGGCAAATAAGCGTATGAAAAGATGATCCACGTCATATGTCAGCAGGGAAATGCAAATTAGAACAACAGTGAGATACCATGACATAACTATTAGAACAGCCAGAATCCAAAGCACTCATGACACCAAATGCTGGCGGATGTGGAGCAACAGGGACTCTCATTCACTGGTGGGGGGAATGCAAAATGGTCCAGCCACTTTGGAAGACAATTTGGTGGTTCCTACAAAACTACACATACCCTTACCATGTGATCCAGCAATTGTGCTCTTTAGTACTTACAGAAAGAGCTGAAAAGTTTTAGCCACACAAAAACCTGCACATAGGTGTTCACAGCAGCTTTATTCATAATTTCCCAAACTTGGAAGCAACCAGGATGTCTGTCAATAGATAAATACATAAGTAAACTGTGGTACATCCAGACAATGGGATATTATTCAGCGCTATAAAAAAATAAGCTATCAAGCCAGGAAAAGACATGGAGGAAACCTAAATGTATATTATTAAGTAAAAGAAGTCAATCTGAAAAGGCCACATTCTGTATGATTCCAATTAGATGACATTCTAGGAAAGGCAAAATGATGGAGACTGTAAAAAGATCAGTGGTTGCTGGGGTTTAGGGGGGAGGGAGGGATGGATAGGAGCAGCACAGAGGATTTTTAGGGCAGTGAACCAGTCTGATGATACTATAATGGTGGATACACGTCATCATAAATTTGTCCAAACCCACAGAATGTAGAACCCAAGAGTGAACCCTCATGTAAACTACAGACTTGGGGCAATAATGGTGTGTCAATGTAGGGTCATCTACTGTAAGAAATGTACCACTCTGGTGGGGGCGTTGACATGGAGGAGGCTATGTGTATGTAGGGGCGGGGGGTATATGTGAAATCTCTGTACCCGTTGCTCAATTTTTCTGTGAACCTAAAAGTCTTTAGGAAAAGGTCTATAAAAAAAGTCATCCTCAGATTTCTACTTCTCTGAAATCTCTGTTTTTAGTTCTGTATGTGTCTTTCCTGTGGTTCTTTATCCACATACAAGCAAATGAATATTTTTATCCCATTATGCCAAAGCAGCCTCTCTATATGTAATTTTCACCTTGTTTCATTGAATTGCTGGGTTATAGGGTAGATGCCTGTCTACTTTTGCTAGACTGCCTCTCATGTGAATTGTACGAATTTACATTTACACTCCCACGACCAATGTGTAAGAATGCCTGTTTCCCCTCAGTCTTGCTGACAGAGTGTGTTTTCAAACTTTTGCATTTTTTGTTTATCTAAAGGCGAAAAATTGCATCTTCGTCAGTTTTAATCTGTATAAACCAAAACACCAAAGTGTTTTCCACAGCAGCTCCCATAAGTGGACAGACAACAGTGGGCCTGACCTCTCACTTTTGAGCTACTCTCACTTTAACAGTATCTTATACTCGCTACTCCCCTTTTTTAACCATAGATCAGTCAGAGCTCATTTGTGGGGCTCTTCAGGCAGGCAACAGCATCTAAATATAATTTAATACCTTTGTTCACCACCCTGTTTTGGTTTAATTTCAGTTTAGCTTTGCTTTGGTTTTTTTCTTTGGTTTTGGTTTTTGGTGTTTTTTAATGGTTTCTCTATATTTCTGGAAAGACACATTGGTTTTGCCTTTATATCAGTGAGAAGAACTTTAATTCTTACAATCAATCCTAATATTAAAAAGTGATAGGATTTAAAACAATACTTTTTAAGCTGCCATGGGCCTGAATGAGTTGGGGAAATACTGTGTGCAATCAGGCAGAAAAAAACCTTAGGAAGCTCAGCTCAGGACAGGGCCCAGGAGAGGGGATCAGTGGCGGGGTTTGCCCTAGTCACCTGGGTCCCAGGTCCCTGTTCCCCTCCTCCACACTCAGCACCAGCACTCCTGGTGCAACCAAGCTCTCTGGGTGTTGTGTAGGAGTCCCTTCAAGAGAAGATGATGAACTTTCTGACTTAAAATGCACAAGCTTCTTCGAGATCTCAAGAAGATAAAGCATGAGAGTCAGCTGGGTGTTTTTCCCATTTATGTGTAAACCCACACTAACAGCTAGTGAGGTGACAGAGACAAGTGATATTTCCACAGCTGGTTAAGGTGTCACACCTTCCCTGTTAACAAAGGATGAACTGAAGACCATAAAATCTTTCCAACTCAAGGTGAAATTCCCAGGCCAGAAGGAGGTGCATTTGAATGCCCTATTTTCATCATCATTTTCATTCAGTTCAGATACAGTATCCTTCCCTTTGAGATCACTCTTTTATCCTTTTGTTCAAAACGTACAACTCAATTTCCAAACTTATGGGGAAATTCTAGTTATCATTTCCTCAATGATCTGGCACAACTGCTTATGACCTAAGAACATATTCTGTGGGTTTCATTCTTCTGAAATACATTGAGACTTGTTTTATAGCCAAAATAGGGTTGAATTTTGTAAACATACCATGTGTGCTTAAAAATAATGTATCCTAGAGCTGTTAGGTAAAATAATCTATGTATTTCTATGTATAGATGTATACATACTTCTATATGCATGTATCTCCGTATCTATATTTATTTGTAATATTTTTATTACTTATATTTTTTACATACTTATACATCATCCCTCTATGTCTTTCTGTATATTTCTACGTTAAGATGGTTTGCTGTTCACATCTTCTGCATGCTTACTGATTATTGGTCTGCTCACTATCAGCTGCTGAGAGAGGGCTGTGAAAACCTCCCACTCTGTTAGACAATTTAACTCTTGCAGTTTTGTCTACTTTGCTTTATATGTTTGGCAGACATGTGATTCGGGATGCACAAATTTTACTTTTTCAGGTGAACTACCCCTTTGATCATTTTGTTTTCTTTATATCTAGTAATGCCTAGTTTTGCCTGACGTTGATTTTGTCTGATATTGCTACAACTAGAGCAGCTTTTCTTTGATTGGTGTTTCCAGGGTTTAATATTTGTCCAGTGTTTTATTTTCAAAATGTCTACGACTTTATGTTTTAGATGAGCATCATGTCAACAGCATCTGGTTGTTGGTTGGTTGACTTGGTCTTTGAGTTTTAACTGGATCTTTCAGTCCATTTGCATTCAATGTGACCCTCTTCTCTTAGAGTTTACATTCACCATTCCATGATGTGCTTTCTATTTGTCCAGATTTTTTATTTTTCTTTTTTTAAGTCTGTTACTATCTGATATTGTGCCCTTTACACTGATCCTCGATCACGAGCCATATGACAACGGTTTGGTTTGATGACAAGTGACATTAAGTTCACAGTGGTTTCCACTGTCCATCTCTTGTGCCCCAACGACTTTAACATTCACTGATAATTTGTGGCTGAATTGTTACAATGATGATTTTTAAAATGTGATTTCTTAGTTGCATTTATTATTTCTATCTTTATTTGTGAGCAATCTGTGTCTAATATATATATATGTCTAATATATATATATTCAACATATACATATACATAAAATATCAAATGAAGAAATATACTATGATGAAATCAAATCGTACTGTTACAAATAGATTCCATTTTTTTATGTAACTTGTCTTTGTGGGATGATATTTTGAACTCAGTGGAAAAATTTAATAAAGATCTACAACCAAAAATCATGACTTTATATAAAGCTGAATGCTCATTAGAAGACCTATCTCCTTTCTTACAACAAATTAGAGAAAGGAGCCTTGAAAGTGTGTGTGATGAATGTAAAACTTGGGACGATACGTGAATATAATATCTGAATTAGAAAATAAGCAAAAAAGAAAACTAAAGAAATGGAAAATGTATGAATCAATGGATGCAAGCATCAATTTTAATATGTTAAAAAATACCATCATGTGTTTTCTTCTAAACCTGATTCACAAATTGCTGAGTACAATCTTATCCAAATTTAGAATGGTCTTGATAATTCCTTTAACAATAATAATTTACAGTGAAGTCCTGTGAATTAGGTTTCAGTAAGCTGAAATTAATTAAAAACTATTTAAGATCGCCAATAGATTATGAGAAATTATAAAATGAGAAATCGCGCAATTGAAAAGGAGACAAGGTAACAAGTATATTTTTAAGATATTATTGATGAGTTTGCTTCCATTGAAGACATGAAGATAAAATTATAATAAATTCCACCTTTGGCATAAATGAAATATTTAAGTTTGAAATAATGTAAGTTTTATTACACCTGTCAGGTTTTTGATATTTTTCAAATACTTCTCATTTTCTTTTCTTCTATTTTTCAACTACTAATGGTTGCAAAATTAACCACTAGAATTAATAAAAGCATGAGGAGCTGGAGTGCATTTCCCCTTTTTACCTCAGGCTGTGGTTCCAATATGGCTCTGAAAGTGGGTCCCCGGCTCATTGTCCCGGAAGGTCCTGATACTTAGTATTTAGTGTATTCATGTCCCAGCTGAACGCATCTCCCTTGTCTCTGGATTTTTGTCAGATTTCTCCCCAGAAACAATCCTAAATCTGTAAAAATAAAAAACCACCACATGCATGATTTAGAGTCATTGAACCCCTCAATCAATGGATATTTTAGTAAAATAAGTCTTGTTCAAATACTGTCAGAGAAAGGAAAGAATAAAACACTGGGAACAGCCCCAAAATGCAAGGGTCTGTGGTGCTCACTGACAAACATGTCCCAGAGAAGCCACCCAAGGCTCCCTCCTCAGCACTCAGCGTGATAAGGAAGTTTCTACAGCTTCTTTTCCTTTTTTTTTTTTAAAGATTTTATTTTTTCCTTTTTCTCCCCAAAGCCCCCCGGTACATAGTTGTGTATTCTTCGTTGTGGGTTCCTCTAGTTGTGGCATGTGGGACGCTGCCTCAGCGTGGTCTGACGAGCAGTGCCATGTCCGCGCCCAGGATTCGAACCGACGAAACACTGGGCCGCCTGCAGCGGAGCGCGCGAACTTAACCACTCGGCCACGGGGCCAGCCCCCTCTTTTCCTTTTTTTTAAAACCACTTCAATTCCATTTAATGAGATATTTAGAATTGCTTTTCACAAGGCCCCATCTAAATGCTTAGATTTTAGTGAGATTTTTTTCATTTATAATTTCAGATTATTGTCAGTTTTTCCCTTGCAGAATGTCATTTGTATTTCAAGAATATCCATTTTTTGTTTTATTATAAATTTTCAGGTACTTCATAATTATCCATTAATATTTACATATGTATTTACATCAACATATTATGTAATATATTGGTATAAATATATATGTACATTTATTTAATTATGTACAGCCAACATTCATTGTACACTTTACTTAACAGTTTTTCCTCTACTCCATTCTTTCCATCAACAGAGTTTAGAAAAATATACTTTAAATGTGTTGTGAAATTCATTATTCTACATGATTTTTACCTTTAGATTTGTGTGCTGCTTAATTTTTTTTCTTTTTTATTGAGGTAACATTGGTTTATAACATTACATACATTTCGTGTGTACGTTGAGGTAACAAATGCTTTTTACTTCATCATGGCGGCATGAGAGGATCTTTTTTCTTTCTGCTTCAATCTACAGTGAGTAGAAGATCCATAACCTAACAAAGGCTACACTGTACAACCCACCAGGATGCTAGAGAGATCCACATATTGGTACATAAAAGGTGGGTGAATTGGAGCACATGGAGAAGGCTAAATGGGAGAACAGCAGAGGTAGAGCCCAGGATCCTAGACCCCTGGATGCAGCAGCTGAGCCTGCTGTCCCCAGCCCCAGGCAACTCGGTGGACAGCAGCAGAGGCATGCGTGTGACTCCAGCCAGGCAGCCATGGCAGCATCTGTGGCCATGGGAAGCAGAACAGCAGTGGAGGCAGAATCCTGTGATCCCAAGTCCTCTTGCCACAGCTTGGAGCCTGACAGCAGCAGCAGAGGTGCACACAGGACTCTGACATCCCAACCACAGCAGCGCCTGTGGCCACAAGGTAACAGACAACAGCTGAGATGGTGCCCTACACACCTGGCTTCCTCCTTGCCCTCTTCCCCCAACTACCACAGTGGTGGAGCTTCTGACCCAGGTGGTCCCAGATGCAGCTGGGGCATCAGACATCCCTGTGCCCCTGGCAGCAAAGCCAGTAACTGTGGAGACACCAGCAAGGGCAAGGCATCAGCGACCCCAAGAAATGCAGGTGATGACAATGAGAGTACCAGCAACACCCTAAATTCAGGCAGTGGAGGTTGAAACCTGCAAAGCCTCAAATATAACCAGAGGCAGCTATGGTAAGAGAAACCAAAAACTAGCACTCTAGCACCACCTACTGAAAAACCAAAGAAAGGCTTCTAACCTCCAAGCAGTTGAAAAGTTTGAATCAAAACAAAAAAGCTATACCTAGATAAAACGCATATTTGCTTCAACAAATGTGCCAGCAGAGGAATAACTCAGCAAGCACCACAAAAAGCCACAGAACCATGGCATTACAAAAAGAAAACAATTCTCAAGAAACCAAATGTAGAGTCACGGAAGATTGTGATCTAATGATAAAGAATTCAAAAGAGCTGTCATGAAGAAACTCAACAAGCTACAAGAAAACTCACAAAGACAGTTCAATGGCTCAGGAATAAAATCAATGAGTATAAGGAATACTTTACCAAAGAAACTGAAACTTTAAAACAGAACCAAAGAGAAATTCTGGAGCTGGAGAACTCAATCAGTGAGATGAAGAATGTGTTAGAAAGCATTGGAAATAGAGGAGATCATAAGGAAAGAAAAATTAGTGAGCTTGAAGATGGAAACCCAAATATGATACAGGCAGATGAGGAGAGAGAACTAAAACTTTTTTAAAAATGAAGAAATTCTACAAGAATTACCTGACTCCATTAGAAAAGTCAACATAAGGGTAATGGATATCCCAGAAGGAGAAGAGAGAGAAGGGAGCTGAGAGTTTTTTTTAAAGAAATAATAGCTAAGAACTTCCCAAATCTAGGGAAGGAATTGGATATGCAAATCCATGAAGCTAACAGAACAATCAATTATCTCAATGCAAAAAGACCCTCTGCAAGACACATGCTACGAAAACTGTCGAAAGTCAATGACAACGGAAGAATACTAAAGCAGTCAGGGGATAAAAAGAAAATAACCTACAAAGTAATCCACATTAGGCTATCAGCAGATTTCTCAGCAGAAACCCTACAGGCCAGGAGAAAGGAAAGATATGTTCAAAATATTGAAAGATAAAAACTGTCAGCCAAGAATACTCTATCTAGCAAAGTTATCTTTCTGATATGAAGGAGAAATAAAGGCATTCCCAGACAAACAAAAGCTGAGGGAGTTCACTGCCACTAGACCTGCCTTACAAGAAGTGTTGGAAGGAGCTCTCCTAATTGAAACAAAAAGGCAAAGGTAAACAAAGCTATGAGCAAAGGGATGAATACATAGACAGAATCAGAAAACTGTAAACCTGTATCAGAATAGGATAGTATACACTTAATTATAACATAAAGGTTAAACGGAAAGAAAGCATTAGAAATAACTATAACCACTTCAATTTGGTAATACTTGCAAAGCAAAACGGGATAATTTGTGACAACAAAAACATGGAAGAGGAAAATAAAAAGGACAGAACTTGCATAGGCAAATGAATATAAGAGGCTATCAGCAGAAAAAGGACCGTCTTATCTATGAGACTTTTTATACACGCCACACAGTAACCACACAAAAAAAATTCAGAGCAGGGTCACAAAACACGCAAAAAGAGGAAACTGAGAAACACATCACAGAAAACCACCAAACTGAAGTGGCAGACTGAAGTACAAGGAAAAAGAAACAGCAGAAATATGGAGTATCCGGAAAACAAAAGATAAAACAGCAGTATTAAGTCCTCATATATCTATAATTACTCTAAATGTAAATGAATTAAATTCACCAATCAAAAGACACAGAGTGGCTGGATGGATTAAAAAACAAGACCCAACAATAAGCTGTCCCCAGGAGACCCATCTCAGCTCCAAACACAAAGACAGGCTGAGTGAAGGGATGGAAGATGATGCTCCAAGCAGATGGCAAGCAAAAGAATGTGGGTGTAGTTATACTTATATCAGACAAAACAGACCCAAGACAAAAAGGATAACAAGAGACAAAGACGGACATTATATCATGATAAAGGGGACAATCCATCAAGAAGACATAACATTTACTAATATATATGCACCTAACATAGGAGCACCAAAGTGTATACGGCAATTATTAACAGACCTAAAGGGAGAAACTGACAGCAACACAATAATATCAGGGGACTATAATACCACACTTACATCAATGGATAAATCATCCAGACAGAAAGTCAACAAGGAAACATGAGCCTTAAATAAAACATTAGACAAAATGAACTTAATAGATATATAGATATAGATATATAGAACACTCCATCCACATGCAGCAGAATACACATTCTTCTCAAGTGCACACAGAACATCCTCAAAGATAGACCATATGATGGGAAACAAAACAAGTCTCACATGAAGCATCTTTTTTGACCACAATGATATGAAACTAGAAGTCAACAGCAAGAAGAAAGATGGAAGAGTCATAAATATGTGGACACTAAATGACATGCTACTGAACAACTATTGGATCAATGAAAAAATCAAAGATGAAATAAAAAAATACCTGGAGACAAATGAAAATGATACATTTTGCTGTATGGGATACAGCAAAAGTGGTACTCAGAGGGAGGTTTGTAGCAATACAGGCCTACTTCAAGAAACAAGAAAAAATCTCAAACAATCTAACATTACACCTAAAGAGACTAGAAAAAAGAACCAAAGAAAAGCCCAAAATCAGTAGAAGGAAGGAAATAACAGTCAGAGCAGACTTAAATGAAATACAGACTAAAAGTAGAAAGGATCAATGGAAACTAACAGCCAGTTCTTTGAGAAGATAAACAAAACTGACAAACCTTTAGCTAGACTAAGAAAAAAAGAGAGAAGGCTCAAATAAATAAAATCAGAAATGAAAGAGGAGAAATCACAACAAATACCACAGAAACACAAAGGATTACAAGAGAATAGTATGAACAGCTGCATACTAACAAATTGGATAACTTAAAAGAAATAGATAAGTCCCTAGAATCATACAACCTTCCAAAACTGAATCAAGAAGAAATAGGGAATCTAAATAGATCAATCACTAGTAAGGAGGTTGAAATAATAATCAAAAACCTCCTAAAAAACAAAAGTCCAGGACCCGATGGCTTCTCTGGTGAAGTCTACCAAACATTAAAAGAAAATTTAATACCTTTTCTTCTCAAACTCTTACAGAAAATTGAAGAGAAGGGGACAGTTCCTAACTCATTTTACAAAGCCAATGTTACCCTGATACCAAAACAGACAAGGACAACACACAAAAAGAAAATTGCAGGCCAATATTGCTGATGAACACAGATGCAAAAACCCTCAACAATTATTAGCAAATTGAATACTACAATACACTAAAAGTATCTTACATCACAACCAAATGGGATTTATTTCAAGGAT